ATGCAGTATAGCTAGCTACAGTCACTGCATAAGACATGAATTCATACCAGAGTCATTAAGGAGAGATCTTGGTAATCTCTAAAGGGAGGGCGTATGAATGAAAGTGACCTTTGTAAACACAAATTAAGTTTGGTCATGATCATTCTGCATTCTAGTCTTGACGGAAGTCTCATGTGATCTTGAGAGCTTGTATGTGTAATTGTAAAGACCTTGAAATATAGAAATGTTCAATAAGTCTTGATAGTTCCATGCATGTTCTTTTGATTGACAGTGACTTGATTAGGAATTATAGTTGAATTGAATTCCATAGGCCTTACAATAATTGATATTGAGTTCTTGATGATCATTAGACCAAGTGGGAGAATGTTAGACGTGTAGATGTCTAACCCATTAAAGTGTGGTCTTATAATCATCAAAGGATTCTAAGACTTGATATCAATTAGGAGTTCAAATACAACTAAACCTGCAGCTCTATTAAAGTTAGTGTTTTAAGGCTAATATAAGAGCTAGAAGGATTCCTATCTTAATTGTGGATTAGAAGTTATAAACCTAATGCAATAAGGACTTCTTAAGAGTTTCTTGATGGGCAAGACTCTTAGGAAGATGCATATAAATACAAGTGCCCCTGCTCAACCGATCAAGCCAACCCACACAAAAGAATTCACCCCATCTAGAATGAGTGTATGAAGGGATCGGATTGAGGAGATGTGCTCTTGTATATTCTTGATGTGTGTTCTATCATGTGTAGTCATTATAGTTTACACTCCCAGCTTCTCAATACTAGTTGCTCCTTTCTCAGATCCCCACAAAGAGCCTGCAGAGACATCATTAGTTATTATGAACAGTTCTTCCAGACTGGCTAATGCAGTTACAAGTTCAGCTTCAAATTCTCCGACTTTGGTATGAGACAGGTTAAGGCGAATAAGCTTTTTTAATTCATTCATCCCATCAGGCAATTGTTTTGTAGGAGTATTATAAAGGTCGAGAACCAGTAGTTCCTTAGAGTTTGCTAGAGAAGGCAGATATTCTAGTTTGGGACAATCGCGCAGGAGGAGTGCCCTTAGTTTTCTCAAGTTGGAAAAGGCTGACTTCTGAAGGGAAGGGATCATAGTATGAGAGAGGTCAAGGACTTTGATGTTAGGCATACTACGAAAGAAATTGTCACTCAAGCGAGAGATGTTGTTGTGCTGCAGAAGTAACGTGGATAGCTTGAGAAACTTGGGCTCTTCCATAAGTGATTGAATCTGATTACTCATCAATGAGGCTCTCTTTACTTCAGACAAGTCCTCCTCATGTAAGTTCCATTTGAAAAGTTTCTTGTCAGCTTTGATGAGAAACTTACCAGGGCTTTTCTGGGTAAGATGGACTGCCATTTGCCTAACTATGTTGCTCATCTTGATGTATTCTTTGTCTACTTCCTTCAAAAGGTAGGTTCCTATGAGCTCATCCAGTATCTCTCTTGCTCGTGTCCTACCTTCTATGCTTCTCTCTGTACCCTCCAAAAAACCTTGCCAAAACCAATACTCCACTAACTTTTTCTTCTTCATCTTATGCTGACTTGGGTACAATGCACAGTACAGGAAACATTGCTGAACTTCTTCATTCAACATATCGAAACTGTCTTTCAAACGATTAAATGCTTTTTCATTCCTGCTTTCCAAGTGAGATGGAATCTCTTCAAGTGCTTCTTTCCATGCAGCATCATCGTCAAGACCATTTTTCTTTAATCCTTTCAAGGTTTCTGCCAGCGAGACAATTGCCAAGGGCAAACCTTCACATTCTTCTATCATTTCCTTTATAGTACCTCGAGTACTATCTTCCTTTAATATTGACACATCCATGCAAGCTTCATCCTCAAACAATTTTTTTGCCTCTTCATATAGGAGAGGCTCGGTCTCAACTTTTTTATCGAACTTGATGTTACTTAATCCGGGAGCTGATCCCGACACGATTATGACCTTGCGGCCATTTTCTGTGGTTGGCCGTGGTATCCCGATTGCCTCAAGAGAGAGATTCCTCCACATGTCATCCAGAATGATGAGAAATCTCTTACTCTTGAGGGCTCCTTCCAAGATTGCTGCTGTATTCTCAGTAGCATTCTTAAGATCAATTTGTAATTTCTCCGCAATTTTCTTCTGCAAGTTATCAACGGATATTGATCCTTTATTCACAGCAGTCACCCAAATGACTTTATCAAAATACTCATGACCGCCATTATAAGCGCTTAGTATAAGGTCATTGACTCTCGATACTACTCTCGTCTTCCCTGAACCAGCCATCCCATAAACAAGTATGGTACAGCCCTCCTTTTCTGTCACGTACTTCATAATCTCTTCAACTTTACTTTTTGCCTCTCCCACTGGTTCTTTGGCCTCTTTCATTTGTCCCACCACATCGGATTCTTGAACGTCAATGAACTTTTGCCCTTCCTTTTCCAGTGCCTCGAACTCTACAATCCTCTGTTCAATCTGTTTTCCGGCTTTGTACTGTTCAATATAGTTGGGTAGACCGCAGCAATTGATCTCACCTATTTTGTCTTTGAATTTCAAGTCAGCAACTTGCTTGATAAACTCGTCTGCCTTGTCCAGCCACTCAAACACTAGCAAGGACTTGCTCAGCACCTTCTCCTTAGATTGTAGGTCTACTTGAGCCCGTTGTTGTTCCAGAGCAGCCATTTTGGTAGTTAAAGTATCTAGTCTTTCTTTGCGCTTCCGGAAATAATTATATCCCTCCGTTATGGGTTCTCGTAAACAGGGTGATACCAGACTTACAGCTACGGTGGCACAACCCAAGACGCTGGTAACAACTGCAACTATTTCTGCTAGGAAGCCAAACACTTCATAAAACAAGGACCAAGAATGGGTGTATACATTATCATTTTTAAATAATTAAAAAACTAAAATTTAAACTTTTATTCATAGCACTAAAAATTAAACTTATAAAACAATAAAATTATAAAATAATAATTATAAAAAAAAACGACAACAAAATAACATAAAATATAAAATATGAAAGATGAAATATGGAACAGTTGTGTGTGAGGTTTACTTTTCTTTTTTTTTCTTTTTTTTTTTCTTTTAAGGGAAGCTATTAGACCACATCACCTTAGGTGCATGGGTAACTGCTCTTACCACTTAATTACAAGCTTCTTGCTCAATTTATTAATTATTTAGGACATGTGGAAATATTTTAATTTAATTTTAAAATGTAGTATAGTACGTTGGAGAGTTTAAACAACATATCTTATGTATATTGGATGGAACGTCAACTGGCTGGTGTACCCAAAACATGCAAAAATTTCTCCACATAAAGCATTTAGGACTAGAAGTAATTGGCGGACTATTTAGTAGATGGACTATTTTATATGGTTTATTTGAGTTCGTATACTAGTTTGCCGGATATGAGTGTTGTAAGAGTGAACTTAATAATAATTAATTCACACAACAAAGTTTTAGCAAGTTAATTAAGTGGGTAGACAACAAAGTTGATATTTCATAGACATTCAGTACAATATTAAGAAATATATAAATACACATGTTATAATATTAGTAACACCACGCGATAACAAGACAAGTAAACTTAACATAATATGCCTAAATAAATGCAACTATTAAATAAAGACATGTGGTTGAATACTTTTATCTATAACGTATCTACAATGGAAATTATGTACTTTTATTCTGTCACCCAAAAGTGAAAGTATATGTTACTAGTATACACCTAATCCATGCACAAATCATCCTTTAATTTGATTCTCTCTTTCGTTGTGTTCATTGTTGTCCAAGTCTTTCCTCTGTACAAGGGACTTTCAACTTTTCCATTTTAATTATTTTTGTCCAGAAAAAAAAAAATTATACATAGAGATATAGTTGGCATGGACTTTGAAAACATGGAATAGAGGCATGCGATGAGAAACTAATGAAATATATATTCAGTGAAGGGTTGCGTACCAGCTGCCATGTGAGACCCGTTTTGGTCACTATTTCACCTCGAAACTCAAATTTCCGCTTCAGTCTCTCCTGTACTTTAGAGAGCAGCGAGACCTATAATAAATAGCAAAAAGATTATTAAACGAAAATCTATGGAGACTAGTTTACTTATCAAATCTTAAATAAAACGAAAATTGGTCGAGTTAGGGGGTGGAGAAACCTTGGCCTTCAATGGACTGGTAAGGAACAAGCCGCTCTTTCTCTTCTATATGGGATTATCAGCAAGCAAGTGATCTGCAACTGCAACCAAATGATTGAAGAAAGTAAAAGTTGTATGAAACAAAAACAAACCAAGCTTGAAGAGAGTTGCAGTTGCCATATGCATGCACTGGCATTTATATATAAAGGCTGGAAGGGATGACGATTATTGACTCAAACTTTGAGCGTCATTTTATTTAATAATTCTAATTAATAAATGTTCTTTCTCTTACCGAATACTATTATTTTTCTTTAGATGAAAAATCATGTACGATACGAGGTCTCCTCTTGAAGAACATGCCTCTCTTCACAGTTAACATTGACAGCTATATATTTATATATATAGGGTTTATTTCTATTGAGGGATCGATCCCTCAAATAAAATATTTGAGGGACACTCTTTAGGGTCCCCTGCAAATTCTTTTTCAACAATCCAAACCATCTATTTTTCAACTTGTCAATCATAGATCATTCTTATAAAAAATAAGGAAAATTGAACAAGTTTCCATATGCAGATTTTTGGGAGGAGTCGAGTGGGCTGCGGAGTGTTGAATGTTAGTCACAGTGCTTTTTCTAGAAGACAACAACGTGCATTTTTTAGAGTTCAAATGCTATGAGTTGAACTTTCAATATATCATGTGCATTTGTAGGGTTGGATAATGGGTTAAGATTATGGTAGGTTAAAGGTTGTGTCTATTTCGATGTAATATCGAGGTGACTTGTTATATCTAACAATTTGCTTGCAACTTGGTGTGCGCATGTTTTCGTCTTCCTGGAAGAATATACAATTCAGTACAGCTAATCCAAATTTGGAATTAGTGACGAATATATAGTTTGTTTATTACGATGCTACCATGCATACCCAGAAGGTCTTTCTTTAAAAAGAAAAATTATCGGCTGGTGGTGTCTACTACTACTAGGTCTTTCTTTTATGATAAACAAAAGGATTTAAAAAAAAAAAACTGAACCAAGTTGCCGTGCATATGCATAGCAAAGTTAGGTGGAGTGTCTCTTTGAATTCGTTTGTCTTTGACAAACAAGTTGCCATGCTCGATCATGTCAACAACGTAAGCAAGAATGAGACAATAAATTAAAGACAGATTCAGCAGCAGAATGGTTGGAATGAATCTGCCCAAAGAATATTATTAAACAATCTTCAGATATTCTACATATTAAGTTCAGTGTGCATGGAAGGTCGTAACAAACAGTCAGCCACATTTGATCATAGTGATGCATATATGCCAACATGCCTTGCCTTACCATGTAATCTTCATACTGCTTTTTATGTGGGCATTTAGAGGTTACCTTTATCTTTGGCTTGAAAGTTTAGAAAATCGAAATTGGTTTAACGATCTATTTTCGGTTAAAGCATGATATTACAAAGAGTTAAAAGCAAATAAAAGACATCATAAAAGAGTGGCATAAATAATGTGCAATTGTCATACCCAAAAGTTTTTGAGGTTCCGCCTTCCTACATTTATTTATTTTTCCTATTGAAGCTCATTCTCTTTGCAATTTTGAAAGACTCCCAAATTTCAATCCCCATTTCCCTTTGATTTAAAAATAATAATAATAATATTGCAAAAGGATGACCCACAATGACGATGGCAATGCAGGGCCCAAATTCTTGCCCAACGGACAGAACTATGGTCCCAGAGAAAAAGCTGGCCCAAACCTATATAACTGCCAAACACTTGTTTTTTCAAATTAAGGGCCAAAATCTTCAACGTTGCTCAAATCGACGGTCGAGTCATGGATGGTAACGAAAACCGAAAAGCACGCTTGCACAACTGGCTCTCTGCCACGATCAAACTATCTCCATTCTTCACCGCTTGGACACGATGTGCTTCCAAAAACTTGAAAATGAAGTTCTGTTCTCTGCATCACCTCCTTGTACTCTTATCCACTGACAGCAACACCTTTGTTTTTTTGTTCTTATAGCTAGTCTAGTGCCCCCAGCTTCCCTCCAAAACCAAGCTTTGGATATCTCGTCTGGGTAATCATTCAGGTACAATTCTTTTCAATTTAAAACTCCATGTATGTATACATATACTTTGCACTTTCAATGCCAACAAACCAATGCCCACAGTAGCCCACATGTTAATATATTATTCGCGCCTATATAATTTTATCAATCTCATGCCCTTTCTCCTCTTGACTTGACGGGAACTTTCTCCTCTTGACTTGACGGGAAGTACTAATACCAACATGGGTTGTGGAAAATGTTGAGTCTTTTGGATTTTTCTCGGAAATTTTGCTTGGTTATGCTCCCTTGCTGTCTTCTGCATTCTGGGTTTAGTAAGTTTGGTTAAATTGAATGATGGGAACCAAGAGTTTGGTGGCATTTGTTCTTTTTGCTCTCCTAGTTTTTGAAGGTTATTTCACTGAAAAGGTGCTTTCTGCTACTGTGACATATGACCACAGAGCACTGGTTATTGATGGGAAGCGGCGGATTTTGCAGTCGGGCTCTATCCATTATCCTCGAAGCACTCCAGAGGTGAGTTCTAGAATCTGTTATTCATGTTATTGTAATATGTTAGAGAAAATTTGAAAAGGCTGTCAGAGGACGCATTATAATGACAATGTGGGATTGTGCTTGTTGGGGTACAATGCAGGTGTGGCCGGAAATTATTAAGAAATCCAAGGAAGGGGGACTGGACGTGATAGAGACTTATGTTTTCTGGAACTATCATGAGCCTGTAAAAGGCCAGGTATGAATAACTCTGGCCTTTGATGTAAATTCATTCTAATATGGGCAAACCACTAGCCTCTCAGCAAGCTAGTTAGGTCCTTTAGGAATATTGGCATCTATTTTCCCCTAAATTTGTCATTAATTTGATGTTTTGTTTCATTTCTTATAGTACTACTTTGAAGGCAGGTTCGATTTGGTGAGGTTTGTGAAGACAGTGCAAGAAGCTGGCCTTCTAGTCCATTTGAGGATTGGCCCGTATGCTTGTGCTGAATGGAACTATGGGTTTGTTTCTGTTTCATGCTCTCTTGTGGTGTACATTGCACTGGCATCAGTTTCCTAGTTTTGTGTGTTCCACTCTGTTATAGCTTTTACTGATTCTGCAGATATCATTATCTTATGACAGGGGATTTCCTATTTGGTTACACTTTATTCCCGGAATTCAGTTTCGCACAACAAATGCACCTTTTAAGGTACTTGGTACATTTATTTTTGCCAGTGGATATGGTTTCTCTTTGGATAAAACAAGACCTCTTACTTTTCCATCTTTATTTGCATTGCTACTGCTTTTGAAAAACTTGTTCACATTAATGCATTGAATCTTATGGATTGGAAAACTTTATATACTTGTCAAAATGCAGATTGAAATGAAGCAATTTCTTGCAAAAATTGTTGAAATGATGAAGAAGGAGCATCTCTTCGCATCACAAGGAGGCCCAATCATTCTTGCTCAGGTGCTTTCCTTTGACAGTAGCCCATACACTATATGAAACTTATCAGGTCTAACTTATTAATTCTTAATGTGATGGTTTAATTGTACCCCATTTATTTTTTACTTGCCAAGTGAAGCATTGTACCAAGTGCATGACTAGTTTAAGTCATTGGATGCTTATCAAGACGTACACTAAAAAGATGGTTATGCAGATTATGTATCCAAAACGTAGTTGGGGCACTCATGGTGTTTCGATCATGCATGTTGATATAGTAATCTTGCATTTATTCAAGCTTCATAACTTACATTCCAAAAAAGTAGGCTAATAGAAATTACAGTTATGTTTTGCATGCTCAATTTTCATTCTTATATGTGCTGTGACAGGTTGAAAATGAATATGGAAATATCGAAGGTTCATATGGAGTTGGTGGAGAATTATATGTCAAATGGGCTGCAGAAACTGCTGTCAGTCTTAATACATCTGTACCTTGGGTGATGTGTGTGCAAGACGATGCACCGGATCCAATTGTGAGTATTGTACTTGATTTTCCATGAAAAGGTGTTGCCTACACTGATAAGAGTCATCATTACATGGAAGGTCTTCAAGTTTGCCAATCCTTGTACCTTCTAATTGTTATCTTCTCACAGTTTTTCCCACCTTTCCATTGTACCCGTTCTTTCAATATTTCCATTTGAAAGGTTTCATTATTTTTATAATTTACCTGCAGATAAACACATGCAATGGATTTTATTGTGATAGGTTTACCCCAAATTCCCCATCCAAACCCAAGATGTGGACAGAGAATTACAGTGGATGGTAACAATCTAGCTTATTAATTCTAACATATAGGAGACAAGTCCACCTTTGGAGTTCAACTTGGAAATACAGAATGTTGAATATCATCATATGTAATGTGTAGGTTCCTTGGATTTGGCAATCCAATTCCTTTTCGACCTGTTGAGGATCTTGCTTTTGCTGTTGCACGATTTTTTGAAACAGGTGGCACTTTTCAAAACTATTATATGGTAAGCTACACAGATTTCTCTTTCTCTAGTTCCAGCCTTGATTGGTAAAGGTTAGCATTTTCACCACCATATGCTTCCATAAACATCATCATAATGTCTTTGTTCTCTGTTATTTCCTTGCAGTATTTTGGGGGGACCAACTTCGGGCGAACAGCTGGAGGCCCTCTGGTTGCAACAAGCTATGATTATGATGCTCCTATAGATGAATACGGTAAATTTATCCAACACTTGGATTTTGAGAAATTAGTGAAACAAATTAATTTTTGTTGTGTGGCTCAGAAATTCAGAATTGTCATTCAAATATCCTGAGGTTGTTTCATCTTGTGAGGAACCTTATGCAGGTTTTCTTAGGCAGCCAAAATGGGGCCACCTGCGTGACTTGCACAAGGCGATAAAGCAGTGTGAAGAACATATGATCAGCTCCGATCCAACACAGGTGCAACTTGGTAAAAACTTAGAGGTGTGCAACATATTTCAAGATTCTTCAATAAATTTTCCGGACTTAAATCAATTGTCTTTGATGATCAGTTTTCACCATTATTTTCTCATGCTCATATCTCTTACTCCATCCTCACTTTGGTATTTCCTTTCTTCATCAGGCACATGTCTACTATAAAAGTTCCAATGAGTGTGCAGCCTTTCTTGCTAATTATGGCAGTAGCTTAGATGCAAATGTCACTTTTAATGGAAATATCTATTTCCTTCCAGCTTGGTCCGTGAGCATCCTTCCCGATTGTAAAAATGTTATATTTAATACTGCAAAGGTACATATCCTATTGTAATTTAGTATTTCATTCAAACTGGGTCAATTGGGACTAGCAACTTCTTATAGCACAGAAAGAAAATGTTACAGAATCTCTTGAACCTGTTAGGATTTTGGTAGTTAAGGAAGAGGAGAGAGAAGAAGAGAGAAAATAAATAGTTTTTGTAAGGTCTATGCTCATGTCTTTATGCTCTTTTGTTGATGATATTTTCCTCATAACAATGTGTCACAATTGAAGGTTGTCTCACAAAGAACTCTTGGAGATTCTTCTTTTTCCGCCACAACCAGTGTAAATGATTTTATATTGGAACCATCTTCATGGAGTTGGTATAAAGAAAGAGTCGGTATTTGGAGCAACAATTCGTTTAAGAACTCAGGCTTACTGGAGCAGATAGCTACAACAAAAGATACTAGTGATTATTTATGGTATACAATAAGGTAATAATCCAGTTTTGATAATTTTTACAGTCAATCCAGTGCATTTCTGTGCTCATCAAACGGATATATTAGAAATCCTTAGCATACTTGTATGCTAGTTATTTTTAATCCTATTCAATTTCTGACATCTTCGTGAATGTGCTTCACCATACTGGCAGTATTAATGTGAAAGAAAACATCATACCTGGTCAAGAGAAAGAACTTTTTCTGCATATTGAGAGCCTGGGGCATGCAGCACTTGTTTTCGTAAACAAAAGACTTGTAGGTAGGTACTCTATTGAATGTAGAGAAGTAAAAAACTCATCAGCTAACTCTTGAATCCCTATGTATTCAGAAGTTTAGCCTTTGTGCATCTAAACGAACATTTTATATTGTTATCTTGAAGGATTTGGATACGGTAACCATGAAGATGCAAGCTTCATCCTAGATGATAAGATTACTCTAAACCATGGAAACAATACCATAGATCTGTTGAGTATGATGATTGGTGTACAGGTACATAATACTGTTTGGTGCTAATTTTCATGTGGATTTTCTTTTAATATTAATTAAAAAAGAGCCATCCACCTTAACATGCTCATGGCCTCTTGATATAATCTCCTTCTGTAATTTTCCAGAACTATGGACCGTGGTTCGATGTTGCAGGAGCAGGAATCTTTTATGTTGCTCTTCGTGACTTAAAGAACAACACAAATGATCTTTCTTTTGAAGAATGGACCTACCAGGTTAGAGCATTTTCTTCACAGCGGTGACATTGATTCAAAATTGAAATTGAGTTAGCTGACTGGCGTGATTTATGATTGCTATATTTATATATGGAAAATGCTAGGGAGACCAACTTGTGTACCAACTCTCTAATAGAGCGTGGGACCCATTGTATTGGTGGGCTCCACCTCTATTAGAGAGTTGGTACACAAGTTGGTATCCCAAGTTGGTCTCCCTAGCATGACCCTTTATATATACACATAAGCACAATTTATAGGCATAATCTTGATCTCACAAGCCCATATTTGATATATCCTTTCTTAAGGTGGGACTTGAAGGGGAAGACCTTGATTTGGATAACATAAATCTTGCAAACAGTTCACTCTGGACTACAGGAGCAGCTCCACCAGTTAATCAGAGTTTAATATGGTACAAGGTAAGCAGTTTGCATGCTTGGTTCAATGTTTTCTTTTCATATTGCTTTCTTCGATTGATGTTCTTCTCATCCTCAGGTTGCATTCCTTGCTCCTGAAGGAAAGGGTCCTTTGGCATTAAATCTTGCTAGCATGGGAAAGGGACAAGCATGGGTTAATGGGCAGAGCATAGGGAGATATTGGCCTGCCTACCTCTCACCATCATCTGGTTGCACCAATGGCAGTGATTGTGACTACAGAGGAGCCTACGATCCATCGAAATGTCTAAAGAACTGTGGTCAACCAGCTCAAACTCTGTAAGAGTAAATGCATTGCTGGTTTTGTTCATTTATGTTGTCCTGCATAGTGATGCACCAAAAGTGATATAATCATATTAAAATCAAATACATTGTATATAATTTTTAGGTACCATATTCCCCGTACGTGGGTACATATTGGAGAGAACCTTCTAGTTCTCCATGAAGAGCTTGGTGGTGACCCCTCTAAGATTTCTTTGAGGACAAAAACTGGCCAAGAGATATGTGCACATGTATCAGAGACTGATCCTCCGCCTGCCGATTCCTGGAAACCAAACTCGGAATTCATATCTCAAAACCCTGAAGTTCAACTGACCTGTGAACGAGGATGGCACATCACTTCAATCAATTTCGCTAGCTTTGGAACTCCTATTGGAAAATGTGGCACATTCGCTTTGGGAGCTTGCAATGCCGACATCTTATCAATTGTTCAGCAGGTAAGAGAAACCTCAGCTTCTTCATATTATAATGTGGAACCAGTAACCCAGGTTCTGATTCAATTTGGAGTTAGAGGTCCTTAAACTAGAATGTCCTTTAAAAAAACATGAGGTTTTCTTGTACGATAAGCGGGATTTAATTTCAATGGGCTTGCAGGCTTGCCTTGGCCAAGAAGGATGTTCAATCCCCATCTCCACAGCAACCTTGGGTGATCCTTGTCCAGGAGTGCTAAAAAGTTTAGCTGTTGAAGCTCTTTGCAGTGATTGAAAGTTCCACTTGTTTACACCAAACCAAGGGACTTGAATGGATGGATAGGTTGGCACGATGCACTGTAGTGCTGCTGATGATGTATCTTGTGATCTTTTTGGCCCTTTACTTGCGAAGATGTTATTTGACATGGATATCACACTAGGCAAGTGCACAAAAATTATGAATTACTACTTGAAAACACACCATTTTGATTAAGATGAATCAATTTTGCATTAATTCTGGGAACATTTTCACTTTGATGACCCTGGAGGCCGATTAAGGGCACATTATTATTGATTAAGATTAATCAATTTTACATGAATTCTAGGAAGGGCACGAAGTGGCAAATTGAAAACTGAATGATCGTTTAGTAATTTATTCTCATAATACAAGAGTACGACATAAGCATCATCGCCATACCACAAAATAAATGCACACTCAGCATCATCCTAGACCTGACCAACCGCATGAGGTCTGAATTATTCACTTGATTATTACATTTTATTACAGTTAACATTCTTATATCATCACGCAACAAGCAGTATCTTGCCAATATGCTGGCTGCTTTCCATGAGCCGGTGAGCTTCTGCTGCCTCAGATAGCGGAAAAGACTTGTAGATCACGGTTTTCACCCTGCCGGCAACAATTGCAGGCCACACATTGTTCTCCACCTCCCTAGCAATTTCCGCTTTGTTTTCTGGACTTCTGTACCGCAAGCCTGCCGCTGCATACACAACCACCATATGACATAAGGATATACCAAACACATTCTTATATCAAACAAAGCGCAACAACTCTTTGCAAAAAGGGAGGGAAAATGATGTCACTGAGGTATGAATCATTGCAAGGCCAAATCCACCCAACTCCAAAGTTCAAACCTATGGAACTAGAAACCTAGTATAAATTCTACTACCTTGGATGGTGAGACGCCTCGAAAGCACAACACGGAGATCTATTTCTGTAACAGCACCACCCAACATCCCAATGACAAAAAGCCTCCCATCAAAATTTAAGCTGTCAAGGTTCCGCCGAAAGTAGCTTGCCCCAATGCTATCCAAGATAACATCAACACCTGCCATTAGTTATATATGAACATGTTTTTCTTCTCCGATAGTAACTGAAAATAAAAATTAATCCTTATTTCTAACATCAATGGAGTGTTGATACAAGAGAACAAACCTTTGCCACCTGTTTCTTCCTTTACCCGTGCAACAAAGTCCTCGGTCTTGTAATTGATGCACACATCAGCTCCAAGCTCCTTGCAAACAGCTAACTTTTCCTCACTTCCTGGTGATCAAGATCTATATCGATAATTACGAAGAAATAAAAACTGATTTTTATACAATAAAAGAATAATTGCGGCTTACCTGCTGTGACAAACACCCTTACCCCCTGGTATTTGGCTATCTGAATTGCAAATGTACCAATTCCACTGGAGCCCCCATGAACCTGAAATTTTAGCAGTCATTCAGTGCTATATAAAGCTAGCATCAGAGACAAAGAAAGCAATTGACTTTATCAATTATGTTATGCCCAGAGCATAATTTGTGATAGTATACACAAAAAAGTGCAAAAAGACCAACCTAAACATATAAATATGGTAGAAAATTTATTTCTGATAACATTTTCCACAAATCTTCATGAAAATAAATCAAAGCACCTGACATTTAGACAACAAAATAAAAAAAAGCCACCAAAGCTATTTTGGACCTACAACCATTACAGCATTCTCATTCAAACGATCATATACTAGAATACTATAGTAGGTTCAGAAGTTACCAAAAATGTTTCACCGGCAGATAGCCGACTCATCATAAAAACAGTCGACCAAACAGTGCATGCCACCTCAGGAAAGCTAGCAGCATCCTTCAAAGAAATACCCGGCGGGACGGGAAAAACTTGTCCAGCTGGAACGGCCACCTTCTCAGCATACCCTCCTCCAGTAAGAAGAGCACACACCTGCACAGCACAAATTGATACAGTTCAAGTATGTGACAGAAACCCTTTGTGGGGAAACAAAGTCTCAAATCCGGTTTCACTGACAGAATGGAACAAAGGGCTGTTGTAAAAAGCAGTGCTTTTACTAGGCTTAACTTATTCCACCGAAAGTTTTTTATAAGCAAACTGGGATATTAATCCATTACCTTTTACTAACCAAGCATTATTGAAGCAAATTCAAATTGTGATTACGCCAATTTAAGATCCTTATATGATTTATTTTTCATTTGAAGCCACGAAAGAGTCCCATTACACAAGAACCCCTGGTGAACCCTTAGTTTCAGCTCATGAAAGTGAATGGGATAATAAAAGCTTTGATTTTAATGGTATATTATACATAAACCACCAACTCCATTTGCAACACTATATTCCCAAATTCCTTTCTTTTCATCTTTGCACACCGAATTGATCATAACAACCATTTCCTTCTACTTTCCACCATTTTCTCAGCAAGCAAACACAACATTTAAAAAAAAAAATTCCGAATTACCCGATCACCGGCTTGCCAGCGTGAGACGTGTTTCCCAACCGCCTCGATAGTTCCAGAACATTCGAGACCCAGGTAGGGGCTGGAACCCGGGGGCGGCGGGTACGCCCCTTTCCTCTGCAACGTGTCGGCTCGGTTCAGCGCCGTGGCCGCGACTTTTATCAGGACTTCATCTTCTTTGAGTTCTGGATCTGCAACGTCTTGTAGCTTGAGGACCTCTGGTCCACCTGGAACTGTTATCACTACGGCCTTCATCATCAAAGCTTCAACTTTTGAGCTTTTCCACTGAAGAAGAAGACTGACTTCACTTGCAAGTTCGCAGTAAAAGATAGTAGAGTAATACTAATGGTGAAACAAACGATATGTCGTTGACTTCGTCTCTGGGAGGCCATAAACGACAGGTCGTGTGCATTTATCAAAGAACCCACCAGCCTTTTTAGTTACAATTCAAACCCGATGACTTGTTGGGTTTTGGTCTTACATTTTTCAGCTGCCAAAAATTGGGCTACTGATTTCCTGGCGGAAATTTGAGTGCTTTCTAGCTTAATTTCTGCTGGGAAATTTTACCAGTGTTGTTGACAGTAATGGCTGGGCCTGGACTATGGAGGACTTGGAGGGTGCTTGGGTTTCTGCTATTGGTGCCAGGAATTCTGGGTTGGGGCAAAGAAGGCCACTTCGCAATTTGCAAGATAGCAGAGGTGAGTCGGCATACTTAGTCATGAGGAATTAGATTTTATTCTTACCAACCCAACATGAAAATGTATAACTAGAAGTGATGCAAGCTTGCTGCTATTTGTAAATATTTTGTCTACAAAATTAATTGGTCGATAAAAAAAAAAAGGGCTCTAGTAGAGAAAAGGGTGGATTGATATGATGGATATGAAAATTGGGAGAGCAGCATCGTCTCAATACCATATTGGACTAGTTGCATAATTTAAATGCAACTTATCATTTAAGCTTCATTTTGGTTCAAAAAAGTGTTTGAAGTGCTGATGAAGATAACGGATGGGGTTTTGTCCATGTCGCCTCATTTTTGTGCTTATATTGTAATTTTGAAGATGGTGAGGTGGGTTCTGAATCTTCAACATTTGTTTGATACAGGGCTTTCTGAGTGAAGATGCTCTGGCTGCAGTAAAAGAATTGCTTCCAGCGTCTGCCGCAGGTGATCTTGCTGAAGTTTGTTCCTGGCCTGATGAGATTCGATACCATTTGCGGTGGAGCAGTGCTTTACATTATATTGACACACCAGATTTTTTGTGTAACTACAAATACTGCAGTGAGTAGCTAGTTTTTCAGTGATTTAGTGGTGCTATCTTGATAGTATTAGGTCTGATCCTTTCTTGACATTAGCCTATGTTATTAATTCAGCCGCTTGTGCCTGCTGGGTCATGCATCTGTTCATGATCTGCAACTGCTCAGTTTAATTCATAGTCTGTTTTGCATAGCTTCTTTCTTTGACTTAATTCTCAAGATGAACGATTGTCTGATAGGAGACTGTCATGACCCTGCTGGACATAAAGATAGATGTGTGACCGGAGCAATTTACAACTATACGATGCAACTCTTTTCAGCTTATCATGACTCCATCTCAGAATCAAAGTGTAAGCACCCATATTTATTGAATGTTGAGGCTTGCCCATTCTAACATATAACTATTCCTAAATATGAATTTCCCTCTTTTTTTTTTTACAGACAACTTAACTGAAGCACTTATGTTCTTGGCTCATTTTATTGGGGATGTCCATCAGGTTTTCTTTTCACACTGGTAACTTTAACCGCCTTAAAAAAGAGTAAACCATGCAGTGGCATCTCAAATTTTCCAGATGAAGTGGTGTAAATTAATGAAAGACACTATCAGAAGGGTTTAGGCTAGATTAGATTTGTGCATATTTTAAAAGAGAAATTATCACTTTCATTATCTTTAAGAAATTCATATTTGGTGTTGACAGCCCCTACATGTTGGCTTCACTGGAGATTTAGGCGGGAACGCAATAATAGTCCGATGGTATCGCAGGAAGACGAATCTCCACCATGTATGTCTTAATTCCATAGTTAACCCCATCGTCGTGGACTTAAATTAATGATTATATTCTTATCTCCCCTTTATTTCCCACGTTCACCCCCTTCTCTGTTTTTCTGGCTTTGTTTTTTTGACAAGAATGATTTTTCAAAGCAACAGTCAGATGCGAGAGGTTTTGGAATGGGAAAAGATGACATATTTGTTGTTTGTGTTCAAGCTTTTGACTCTATAAAAATGGTGTTGTTCTAGGTCTGGGATAATATGATCATTGAATCTGCTGTAAAGACACTCTATAGTAAAGATCTTGCAATCATGATAAAGGCCATTGAAAGTAATATTACGGTATGAAGTTCATATTTTATTGTTGTTTGAGTTTGTTACAAGATTTTTTTGTGCTTTTGTCCTCACAAGAGTACACATCCCTGTGCAGCAATGCGATACTCATTTCCTTTTCTATTTATTTGCAGGATGGCTGGTCCAATGATATATCAGAATGGCAGATTTGTGCAAATAATCAGACTGTATGTCCAAATGAGTATGTACATGTTCGTTTTAGTTCCTCCAATGCTTAATACCTCGTGTATATGTGATTTAACTTGTTTTTGGTCATGCAGATATGCTTCTGAAAGCATTAGTTTGGCATGCAAATATGCTTACAGAAATGCCACACCAGGAAGCACACTGACAGGTATGCAAGGATTTGTTATTCCATTTAAGGTTTTCGTTTTCTCTTTCATATATACCAATAGACAACATAACGGAATTAAAGGTGTGAAAATGTTTGATATCTAGGTCTAACTCAAGAATCATTTTCTTAAAATGAAAACAATATCCCGCCAGGCTTTTTGCATTTGTATTGGTTCCCTCTATCTGACTATTGCAGCAATGACAACCTACCTGTATAATTGCATGTCCTAGAAATATTTATATCATCACATTTGTGATTTTTTTTCTATCTCTGACGCCATCACATCACATGGACTTGTAACATTTTGTTTTGATGCTAGTATATTCTCATATAGTTTTTTGTTTTATCTTCTTGTTTAGATGATTACTTCCTTTCTCGGCTACCTGTTGTGGAGAAGAGGATAGCTCAAAGTGGGGTCCGCCTGGCTGCTACCCTCAATCGTGTTTTCTCTTCTGAAGCAAAAATTGCTGACGCATGAAGATAGAGGATAGAGGATAGAGGATGGGGATGGGGATGCATCCTCGGAAGATCACCTATAGTGGGGCCCATCATTGTCGCTTAAAAGCGTGAAGTTCCCCATACGCAAGACCTCCCTCATGTATCAAATTAGTGGTGTCTTAATGTATTCCTAATATGTTGATGATGCCCCTAGTTTACCAGAATATGCCCAACACCTCATCCCATCTGGCTTGTGTTAAAGAATCAATCACAGACTGACTTCTGGTTTGGGCGACTTAAAATAGTTGGAAGACCAAACTTGTACGCATTGAATAACTTGAATGACTTGTAAATATAAGCAACCAAGTCCCTCTGTTGGGCCTATAAATTATCAGTATTGTGTCATCATATTAAGGAACAAATTAGTTGGTTTTTTTTCTCAGCAGATAGAAATTAAGATGGACGGGTATAGATGCTTTGGGGGATTTTCCCTTCATGGGTTTGTTTTGTTGCTAGCGTTAGTTTGCATTATAGTTCCAAGAGCTCAAGGATGGAGCAAAGAGGGTCATATTATGACATGCCGGATTGCACAGGTAAACCCAAATTCCATCACTCTGGGAAGTGGGAAGTAGGTCCTGTTCTGTTTGAGCAGCATCATGATTGTGGAACTATTGAAATGAATTGCCCAAAATTCCATCTAGTTTAAAATCATGTCCATTTAAAAAATGTAAATGCAATCACTCCAAGTAGTTTACACGTCTCACCATTTTTCACTCTTCAATTTTTTATTTTTTATTTTTTGGGTTTGATTTGATCGTCCAATCCAAGTCAGATTGGTTTTTGAATGAATTGAAACCTTAATGAAAATTCAAATTCGAACCGACACCACATGTACTAGATTTTTGAGTTTCGATAGAATCTCAATCCTTATAAAGATCATCGACTAATTATTGTTAAACTGCAGGCACTTCTAGAGCCTGAAGCAGCAGAAGCCGTTAGAAATTTACTTCCTCACGACGTCAATGGCGACTTGTCCGCTCTGTGCGTATGGCCGGACCAAATCAGGCATTGGTACAGATACCGGTGGACTAGCCCACTTCACTTCATTGACACACCTGATAATGCTTGCAACTTTGACTACTCAAGTAAGCTTTATATACCCTGCCTGTTTAGTACTTTTTAATCAATTAGCAGAATTGCAACATTATTAATTGTGCCATGTTAACTTTAATTTGGGATAATAGGGGACTGTCATGATACACATGGCTTGAAGAACATGTGTGTTGCTGGTGCCATCCAAAATTTCACCTCTCAGCTTTCACACTACACAGAAGGAACCTCTGACCGTCGATGTAAGGAACCCCGATTTTATTATATGTTCAGATTGATTTCATTGCTTTAGGTTTTGTCAATGGCTAATTTCTTGCATTGCACGACAATCAACAACAACACCATGGTTTGCCTTCGACTCTTTGCAGATAACATGACTGAGGCCTTGCTTTTCTTGTCACACTTCATGGGAGATATCCATCAGGTATGTGGCCAATTCCAACATTTGACGTTCTGCTGTAGCTCTCTTTGGATTGAACTTATTAAGGATTTCTTTTTTAGTTTTTATATTCTGATCATCTTCTTGTGTATTTTGGCAGCCAATGCACGTTGGATTCACGACAGATGAGGGAGGAAACACAATAGACTTGCGTTGGTTCAGACACAAATCAAATCTCCACCATGTAAGCCTTTCTACTTGTAGCTACACAGACCTTTCAAATAGACAGACACGGTTGCCAGGGAAACAAAAAGGGTCTGAGAAGCAAAGCAACATAGTTTGACAGGAAGAGAAAATACTTCTTTTTTTAATGAGTTATGTTCGGATTGGATGACTACCAGTCAAAAAACAATGTATGTTGTGTTAACCTTTTCGTTTTGTTTAAAAATTAAGAAAAGAAATTTCTTGTTTCCGCAGGTATGGGATAGGGAGATTCTACTGCAAGCCCTGAAGGACTATTATGACAAGGACATGGAACTCCTCCTACAAGACATACAGGGAAACATCACAGATGTAAGGACCAATGTTTATTAACTTAACTGTATGAGATTGGGGGATGCTTGGCAAAATATGAATGAATTATTAAATAACTTAAGCTAAATTATATATTAGTTCATTATGTATACTGCGCAAACAGGGAATCTGGTCTGATGATGTTACATCATGGCAACATTGTGATGATCACCATTCATGTGTAAACAAGTAAGCTCTCTCTCTCTCTCTCTCTCTCTCTCTCTCACGTACGCACATACACACACGTGTACATACGTACAGTGCATACATACCTTTGATATTTTCGTTGTCGATATTAGAATTGAATACCTTGTTACGTTCGTAGGTATGCTACAGAGAGTATAAACATAGCTTGCAAGTGGGGTTACAAGGATGTTGAGCCGGGTGATACTCTAACAGGTATATATACACGGCCAACACATTTTACTGTCACTTCCAAATTTCAATACGAAATTGGCAGAATATTGAAAAGGCCAAAGTTAAAGACCCAACAGCAAGAACAAACATGATTTTGGAATTTTGATCCAATTTCCTTGTTAATTAATTACTTATATGATTGAATATTTTAGATGATTACTTCCTTCCTCGGCTTCCTGTTGTGGAGAAGAGGATTGCTCAAGGTGGAGTCCGCTTAGCTGCCATCCTCAATCGCGTCTTCTCTTCTCAAGAAACACAAGTTGATGATGAAGCATCACGTTCACCCACCTAACCTGACTACACAATACAAGCCAATGCCATCATCAACTACAAGTTACACCAAATTCAAGCACGAACCTAAACCCATGCACCAAATTGTGCTTTAGAAAATTGTTATTTCACTTCATTCCTAATTTATAAATTATGTATAGAAATTATTTTGTAACTATAACATCATTTGGCATGTTGGCATAATAACATAGTGTTACGGATCCCTAATAAAAAAGATAACTTTTTTTTTTCCAACCCTTGAAAGTTTACTCAACTTTTTAATGAAAATTGGTGATGAAGCATCACGTTCACCCACCTAACGTAACTATACAATACAAGCCAATGCCATCATCAACTACAAGTTACACCAAATTGTGCTTTAGAAAATTGTTATTTCACTTCATTCCTAATTTATAAATTATGTGTAAAAATTATTTTGTAACTGTAACATCACTTTGCATGTTGACATAGTAACATAGTGCTACGAATCACTAATAAAAAAGATAACATTTTTCTTCCAACCCTTGTAAGTTTGCTCAACTTTTTAATGAAATAACAATAATGTTCTCAAACTTTGACAGCCAGGTTTTTTATTATACATTTCTTCTTTAATTGAGAATGGACAGTAACTAATAAAAAATAAAAAATAAAAACAAAATAAGCTCATATTCACAGGCCCAAATTTTGACCCAAAAAAGTAACGGTTTTGGGCCTTGCCAGCCATTTGACACCCCATTTGACACCACAAAAAAGGAAAGAGGAAAGAAACAATCAAAGGACGACCCCGATATCGTGGAAGGCAAGACAATTCACACGCCAACCTCAAACTTTGTCTGACCGTGTCTCTTGTCTTTACCACTGACTAAGTGCTAGGGTTTAGGGTTTATAGGATCTGATGGTTCATGGGAGTCGGACCAACTGAAGGAGGACCTCCATTAGTCCAAAACCTTGACCAAACACAACGACACCAAACTGCACCATAACACGTTCGTCGTACGAAACCAAACTACACACATTAGCACTCTTTCATCTACCCCTGTCTCCGTAATTTTGTGTATCTACCTCCTTCCTCGAACCAACCTTGAGACCCTTTATTTATTTTTCCAGTCTTTTGATGTTTACTATTTTATAATATGTACTTCTGAAATCTCAACAAACTTCCTTGCACCCCAAGTCGGCGCCTTTTTAACTCCCTCTGGCCTCCATTTGTTCGCTTCTCATATTTATTTTATAGATCGCCATTTAGATTTTGTGATAATTCATCAACAAAAGACATGGGAACCCTTTCGCTTTTGTCCTAAGAAGCTGCTCCAACAATCTTGGATCATATACCACATACGCACGGCCTCTGTGTTCTAAAGCAAAAAACTTTCACTGATTCATCGCTCCAATACAGTAATGTTCTTCAACCTTATGCTTCATAAAGATCACTGCTTTCAAAGATTTCGTATTTGCTGTGTTTCCCAATCCTCTTGGCTGTAGGTTTGTTCTTTTTTTCTAATTTATGAACCTTTTTTTTTTTTCGTTTCTTTGTTTTGTTTTGTTTTTTTATTGGGATCTGCTTATTAAAATGCTGATGAGTTAGTATTACATTTGAGTTTGATTTTTGAACTTGAAAGTTCTTATTTTTCGCCTTTTGGGTCTAATTTTGGGTGCCTTTTCATGCTGATCTTTGCATATAAAACAGAGCTGTTCTGTTTACGAGTAGCTTTGTTGCTTGCTGCCATCCAGTATGTTTACCTAAATTATTCAATCGAAAAAGTTCATGAATCTGGATGTTGGGATTGTCGATAAAGAAATTATTTGGCAGAATTGAGCGGTCATGAATTTTTTTTTCTTTTAACATGCAAGAGTTATCTGGGTTGGATGTGCCAGTTACTTATTAAATGTTAATTTGTGCAGGCAATGCATAAGTAATAAGCTGCTGTTTTTTATGTTTTTTTTTGGCTCCTAAATTTACAAGAGCTTTCTCTTTGTTTCTGCCATCAGCTGATAAGCAAAGCTAAGCTGTTTTTTGTTTTCTAGTCAACTAGTATCTTGGACACTATCGTTGTCATGTGTCAATAATCTTACTTTGCTTTGATTGGAGTGTAGCTCTAATTGTCCTACCTATTGCCATCACCTCTCCACCTGTTTGGAGTGGTCAATTCAGCTGCCTATAAATATTTCTGTCTTCAAATGTTTCTCCTACAGTGGTAGCAAGTTTCATAGCTCACTTCCTCCACCTTCCTTGGTTCAATTTCAACAGGTTGATCAAGCACCAATTTGGTTCTCTTTAGAGGATTCAAAGGGTACTTTGTGTCTTGCTTCAGGGACCGGTACTCGATCCCAGCATGGCATTAGAAAGGATTGCTAGGACTGCTAGAAATGGCTTCAGAAGGTCGCCATCAGGAGCATCCGCCCACACGAGTGAGAAGGATATGTTATGTGAGGGAGCATCCACACGCAAATATTGTTCCTTACCTTCACTCGAAACTGACACTAGAAATAGAAACTTTTTGTACCTTTCCAGCATTTCAAAGGTGAATCACAATAGTTTTTGGAGCAGAGGAATAAGGGCAACTCCAACTTATCAATTTCCTTCTGCAGAAAGGATTGTTGAGGAGTCTGATTCTGAGTACAACAATCCCAAGTATCCGGGACTAGAAGCAACCAAGCCAGGTGAAAAGCCAAGAGTGGTTGTCCTTGGTACTGGCTGGGCGGCCTGTCGATTCCTTAAGGGACTAGACACCAAGATCTATGATGTTGTTTGCATATCACCGAGGAATCACATGGTCTTCACTCCTTTGCTTGCTTCAACTTGCGTTGGTACCCTGGAATTCCGTTCAGTCGCTGAACCTGTTACTCGTATACAATCTGCATTGGCAACAGGTCCCAATTCTTTCTTTTATATGGCTTCCTGCGTTGGTGTTGGCACAAACAAACATGAGGTAACTAAATCCTCTCTAACAATTTCTTTTCCTTCTTTTTCTGTTCAACATAAATTTTATCAACTATTTTCGTTGAAGGGTAATATATGCAATGCCATAGCATGTGATGCAAGATCAGTTCCTAACTAAATTCATTAAGATGATATTGGTAGGGTACTGCAATAACGTACCATTTTGAAGTCAAAGCAACAGAAGAGTTAATCTTCTTCTTTCGTATTAGGTGTACTGTGAGACGATTAGCAAGGGTGGCTTGCCTCATGAACCTTACAGATTCAAAGTTGCCTATGACAAGCTCGTCATAGCTGCTGGAGCTGAGCCCCTGACATTTGGTATCAAGGGTGTGAAGGAACATGCATTTTTTCTCCGTGAAGTGAATCATGCCCAAGAGATTAGGAAGAAGCTTCTCTTGAACCTGATGCTCTCTGAACATCCAGGTGAGTGTTATATGTCTCTCAGAGGATTATAGATATTTGAAAACTATGTTTTGCTCTCTGAAGGATGAGTGCAAGACAATTGCCAAGAATTGGAATTCCTCTCTCAAACATCTTATGCATTTTAATTTGCAGGCATACCAGAGGAAGAAAGGAAACGCCTCCTACATTGTGTTGTTATTGGAGGTGGCCCTACAGGGGTAGAGTTCAGTGGCGAGCTGAGTGATTTTATCATGAAAGATGTCCGTGAACGGTATACTCATGTTAAGGATTACGTAAAAGTCACTCTCATTGAGGTACTCATTTGTAATTGTCTTCTATAATTATGCATTGGATTTCTGTGGAGATGAACTATGAAACCAATGATTGTTTTTTTCTGTATTATTTTTAACAGGCAAATGAGATTTTGTCATCCTTCGATGTTGGGTTAAGGCGATATGCAACAAATCACTTAACCAAGGTAAGTTGATTTGCCTTCTAACATTCTGGAGGCTATTTCTTGTCAGTTCTTAAGATTAATTTGAAATGTAAACTTTTGCATCAGTGTGGTGTTCGCCTTATGAGAGGTGTTGTGAAAGAAGTGCATCCCAAGAAGATAGTTCTCAACGATGGCACTGATGTTCCATATGGCCTTTTGGTCTGGTCTACAGGCGTTGGTCCCTCAGAGTTTGTGAAATCACTTGATCTTCCCAAGTCCCCAGGCGGAAGGTAAATGCACCCGCATTTCTTTGGTTGATTTCTTCCTTCTGTTCAATGTATTAAGAACCTAAAATCAGCTCTATGGAGTAATACAGGATTGGTGTCGACGGGTGGTTGCGGGTTCCTTCCGTGGAAGATGTGTTTGCACTTGGAGATTGCGCTGGTTTTCTTGAGCAGACAGGGAGGCCAGTTCTTCCAGCTTTAGCTCAGGTTTTTGTTCTCTAAACTATACATTGCTGTCAAGCCTGTCATATGTCATGCATTCCCTTGTTTCTTAAACTAACTCATTCGACGATGTTTCAAATAGGTGGCAGAAAGGGAGGGAAAATATCTGGTCGAGTTGTTTAACAAGATTGGGGCTCAGAATGCAGGCAAAGCCTTGAGCTTAAAAGACATCCCTCTAGGAGAACCTTTTGTGTACAAGCACCTTGGAAGCATGGCAACAGTAGGACGCTACAAGGCACTGGTCGATTTACGCCAGTCGAAGGTAGGCGCTCTTTAACCACTATCATAAAGGCATTTGTGAATTACAATAAAAGTATTTGCCTTAATCTCTTGAGCATGTTTTTTGGCAGGATGCAAAAGGCATATCGCTTGCCGGATTCTTGAGCTGGTTCATTTGGCGTTCCGCTTATCTGACGCGAGTCGTCAGCTGGAGGAACAGGTTTTATGTTGCAGTAAACTGGGCTACCACGATTGTCTTTGGCAGAGACAACTCAAGAATAGGTTGATATCATTTGCACAACACAACACTGCCATTTGCCATATTATGTATGGTTACATATGTTAAAGATGCTTAAGACCTTGAGCTGGATTTAGTCTCTGCGTTTCTCTCAATTTGTTGAGTTGGGTTCAAATTTTGGTTCAATTTAAAGATGATCTTTGCTAACTGGAGTCTGTTCTGAAACCATTGTCTTTGATGTTCAAAGTATAGACTGAAATCCAAGACACACGCTCAAGAAGCAAAACAGCAATTGGCGATAGACAGAAATAAGAAAAAGGACCCAAGAGTAAAAACAAAGCGTATTCCACTGTTATAATCTTTAAACTACAAAATTTGTACAGCCTTTGTTGCCAAAAAAACCAAAAAACCAAGACAAGAGCTTAAAATTTGTACCCTTCCCTTCCTCTCACTCATCAAAATCTTTAATTTCACCGAAAACTGGATTCAGAACATCTAAGAGAAGTGATGAGCATCACCACCACGGCGGCGGCTACTGGCAGAGAATATGGAAGAGAAAGAGTGGAGCAGAACCCCAACAATAGCCACCTTGACCTGGCCCCTCTTTGGGATAAGACGGCCAGAATTAAATCTCTGAGAGAAATTCCCACCGTTGATCATAGCAGACCTTGCACCCTCCATCTTTTGTTTGCCTCTGATTATCTTATGGGATCAAAAGGGTCAGTCTTTCTCAAATCAAGACAGAAGAAATGGCTATGGAATCTTGAAAGCTTGAAACTTTTGAGCTGTGAGTATGTTTTGTGATTTGAGTCCTCTTGCTTGTGTGGTTTATATAGCACTGGCAAAGAAGGCTCTCCTTTTTTTTAATTTAAAATATTTTTAGGTTTTTTTTTTTTTTTTTT